CCACTGTTCTGATAAAAATAGACATATAAAATGAAATTTGCTACTTCACATAACTAAAGTGTACATAAGGGTGAATGTGTATACTCACATGGAGTGGTGCCAGTTAATAAAGTATTTGGATGAGCCCCACTACGTATGAGTGCATGCACATCCTTATGTACATGCTAAACAAGGAACAGATTCCTAAAAATATGGTCCTTTGAATTTGTGATTAGGAAGAAAGAGGCCTAAGTTTTGTCATAAAAAAACTGTTGTTTTTGTGTTCACGGACATGCATTTATACAGAACCCCACATAACAACATTTCCAGGACAAGAAAGCCAAATACCTGAGCAGAAGAAAGTACTTCAGGCGAAAACTTGATATACTTTTGACTACCGTAAACAGCAGAGCTCACGTCGAAACCGCTACCGACTTTACCCTGCGCTATACAGTGAGCAGTTTGAGCTATGATATGCACGACATCCAGTTCCTTCGAGACTTGATCCCCTAGAAGAGAACTATTTTCTAAGGAAAGTTTGACCACTCCAAGGTAATGAAGTAAAGCAGCAACAACTGCAGTTGTCATAGCAGCAGACGAACCCAATCCAGTTTTGGCAACTTCAGGTTTTCTCTTTTGTTCACTAGATTCCTCTGCATTAAAGGTGATCGAAGTGAAAGGTGGGAGAGAAGCCAGTGAATCGGGAGCTAGAGGCAGGCCACGGGCTTCAATCTGCGTGAGAGTACCCATATGAGTCTGAAAGAAGCATTTTCACAAAAATAGTTTCATATCCATGTGCATGAGTAACTTTGAAAATCCTTCCACTATGCTGAAAATGTTAGGTTTAATAATTTCTGATCATAAACATCATTGAGACGTGGCCCAATTGCCAAATTAAACAAATTGTCTGGTAAAAATTCAGTAGAATAATGGTGAAGTTGAATACCTGATTTCTATATGAATAGAACTCATTGCAGCCTAAAATCGTAATGTCAAGACCTGCATGACTAGACCAAAACAGACATTAGAATTTCTAAGTTCAGTTAGCTTTTGAAGAAAGATCGGGGAATTTCATATCCAACTTTACCTAGCAACAAAAGTTTATGTAGCTCCTCCTTCTTAGTATTGTCAAAGGTGGCATGTGCTGCTGCTATAGCATATTGCAATGCATATTCTACGAATGGGTTTCTTGAATCACTGAGTAGGCATAGCAAAAAAATTCTCTCATGTAAGCATTAATTGGCCATATGGTTCTTGCTCAGACAATAGTACGTGAAAAAAAGTAGTTCATTCTTCAATAAGTTAAGTTCAATTCATAAGCATACGCAAACACGCCACAGTTACTAGGGTCCACTACATAGAAATTTTAAATGGTGTGCTTTTCACCTTGAAGATACACACTGTAGCTGCAGATGCTTGAGAGACAGTTTATACATAGTTTCTCTACCCATCTGAGGAGATGTCAGTTTCACATCTGTCCATGCCTGAAACACAGCGAATTTTTGGTAAGAAAATAAACCACATAGTACAAACCATTTGGAGAGAACAGAGAAATAAAACATACAATTAAAATCTTGGAAACTCATTTCAAATAAAATAAACAGGCGGTATGGCAAGAGTGTCAATTAAGTGAATCAAAATTATCCATTTACGGATCAAACTTGGAGATAGAATTGCACCACAAATTATCATGATCTACCACAGAGTGTCACATACCCATGCCCAACTGTCAGGTTTAAGGTCCTCATAAAGCAGCTTGACAATAGCATAAAATCGGGCATTTGTACTTAGTACAATCCCTGCATTAGGCCTCTCCAGAATAAGATATCCACCGGTCATCAAAACTTTTCCCGGCGCAGAAGCAACCCTACTCATTAATAAATTAGAACACAATCACTAACACCATCATCACCATGAAACAAAAACATACTGTAATTAAAACAAGAACAAGCCTACTCATACTGCCATTTGTCAGCAACTGTATATAGAATTAGATCTGGACAAAGAAAACATCAAAATCAAGAATCAGATGAATAACAACGAAATCAAAACAATGAAAACGGCTAGAGATGGCAATGGGGCAGGTCAGGTCGGGTACTTCACTACCTGGGCCTGCCCCGCGACCCCAACCCCGAGGACGCCCTGGTCCGTTCCCCACCTCGGGTCCAGCAGGGTTGCCTGTGACCTGGCCAGGCCCGGATGGGTTTGTTTAAAAAAAAATAATAATAATAACATTACAGTGGAAGAATAGCAAGGTTTGAAGTTTCATAGAAAAAGAGTCACAAATTATTTTATGATTTATACTAAATGAAGTATAAAATACCCAAATTTTTGGTATGTTGTTCAGAATAGCTGGGATTTTATTTGAAAAATATACAGACTAATGTACAGTAAAGCCCAAAAATACTTCTCATTGCAAACATATTTTTGAATGGCGACTGGCGAGGCGACTGGCCCATGGCCTCGCCATTCGCCATGGCGAGGCCTCGTCTACACATATCAAATTGATGAACTAAATATAGAGTATTAGACACCTATGTAATGAATTAAACAATTGAAACACATAAACAGATAAGTTAAACAGAAAAACTAAACCGAAAACCTATGTATTATACAATAGAGAAACTAAACATACAAAAATAATAAACACTAAATTATAAATAAAACAGAAACTTTTTTTTTATTTACAAAAAAAAAAAGAACAACCCCAACACTAACAGAGGTCAGCAGCACGCGACATACCCGGGGAGGAGCTCGTAGATGCGGGGCCGGCGCGGCAGCAGCTCCTCCGAGATTAAGAGAGCTGTCATTTATTTTAAACTATGACTGCAAATGTACAAAATGCAGAATAAACCAAAACTAAAAAGAAAAAACTTGATCTTTTTAAAAGGGATTCAAAATAAAAGCAAAACTAAAAAAATTAAAAATAGAGTGAACAACTGATCTATACGACTATATCTAACTCAATGACTCCACAAAAAAGATTTGGCCAGTTATGCAATATTTTCATTGCTCACCATCTGAAATCTCAATCACTTAAACAGATCGGTCGGCCAACGCAAGCCCCGAACCATATAGTAAGATCCCCAAATATTTTGGAAAATTAAAATGTTCGTTCATATCCCAAATAATTTCAATAAATCTTAAAGTATAAATTAGCTCAACTCTTGAAATGATGAGGGCCGCATCTCGACTAAGAACACAAGGCTAAATTAAAGGTCTGTGTGTACGCATGTGCTGTGGATCTCTCAATGATATGCAATTTCAAAACCGAATATTTTCGAATTTGCAGTGTCGGATTGAACTGCACTTACATGTTAACAGAAAAAAAAAATTTAAGGAAAAAAAATTACCTGGTTGGAAACTTCGTATGTGAAATCTTCGCAAGAGCAAATGTTGGTGGACAGTGGAGATGATATGAAATGTGGGGAAGTCAAATTTCATTTGGTGTGCCAAATTTGAACATTTTTAGGTCCCTGAATACTTCCAGGGCCTGTTCGGTTAAACAACCCTATGATGGATTATTAAACAACCCTATGATTTTTAGACCCGGGCCGGGTCGTGTCAATTCGGTTTAGAGTTGGCTTTTGAATGAAAAAAAAATGACTAAAAATAAAATACTTGCCATACAACAAGACACGGCCTTTCATTAGGTCTTACGGAGACTTACCTCGCAAGGGTAACCGTATTACATCGACGAGGACAATCGTACCGACGGCCGAATCGGCTCACGCCGATATGCTACATGGTTTACATGCATACTTAAATCATACCAACCCAACATTAAAGTAAACACATACGGCATAGCAAATTTTATAAGTAAACCCACCTGGTTACCGAAGCGATAGATACAAAAACACGAGTAGGCAGCGAGCTCAGCTCGTCAAACACCTACATATATTAAAATAGTCCTATAAATGACTATTCAACACATGACCAACCAATCATAACAATCACTTAATCCAACTAAGCTCACATAAGCATTTAATAAAAGAAATCCCATTTCCGAAAACACCACTTACGTTTTTCAAAACTTGACCCGTGCAGCGTTTTTGAAATTGTTAGAATGATTTTGTGAATATTGTATTTTTGGTATAGATAGATTTTAGTATCTTAGAGATTTGGTGTAGATTGGTTTAGGGCTTCCTTTGTACCTTTATATTCGGCCATTGTCAATCTTGGTGAAGCAAGGTTTTTGGGGGAAAACAAATTGACTTTCACATATTTTGTCATGGTATCATAGCCTGGTTAATTTTTTTCGGATCGAAAGTCTCGATCAACTGAGACTCAATTTTTTTTTTTGTTTTGTCTTTCTGTTGCTCTCTCTCATTTTTTCTCTCTTTCGGATCTCACGTCTCCTTTGAATTTGTGAGTGGTATAAGTGCTGAACGAAGCACACTGTAGCCCGGTCTTCTGTCGAGGCCGAGTATCGAGCTATGGCGACCCTTACTTGTGAGTTGAAGTGGTTGAAGGGTTTGCTTCACAATCTTGGCGTCGCTCATTCTCAGCCCATGCGGATTCATTGTGACAGCCAAGCAGCTCTGCACATTGCTGCTAACCCTGTATTTCATGAGCGCACGAAGCATATTGAAGTCGATTGCCATTTTCTTCGTGATGCTCTAGTTCAAGGTCTCATTTCTACCGCTCATGTTTCTACTCATTCTCAATGGCGGACATCTTCACCAAAGCCTTGGGAAAACGCGAGTTTGACTTTTTTCTTGGCAAGTTGGGCATTCGGAATCCGCATGCTCCAACTTGAGGGGGGGTGTTAGAATGATTTTGTGAATATTGTATTTTTGGTATAGATAGATTTTAGTATCTTGGAGATTTGGAGTAGATTGGTTTAGGGCTTCCTTTGTACCTTTATATTCGGCCATTGTCAATCTTGGTGAAGCAAGGTTTTTGGGGGAAAACAAATTGACTTTCACATATTTTGTCAGAAATCAACATAACTTTCTGTACAAAACTCGGATGAAAATGATTCAAGTTGCACTAGAATCATAAGACATGCATCTACAATTTCTATGAAGAAAATGAAAGTAAATAAGGTCATTTAAGTAGTGTAAAAATAGCTAACATTCAAACATCAAATTTTGTCAAAGTATAAAATCCTACTTCATGCATATCTACATTAAAATTATCAAAACTCGAGCTACATATATCATCTCAGAAGAAATATTATTTCATTAGAAAGCTAATTAATATACCTACAACGTTCATGAAGATCACAAACTCATTTGAGTACATTTAAGTACCATAAAAAGGTCAAACATTTATTAATACATGCTGCCAGATTTTCGAAAACTGCTTGCACACTCGTTTTATAAAAATCATAACTCACACGATATAACTCGAATTATCAAAATTCAAAAATCCCGAGAAAGCCAACAGAAAATACTGCATTTCATCAGAAGGCCTCAACAACAAATTACGGGTTTCTGATGGTCATAATTACAGCCTAACATAGCATTAAATCATGCATGCACCAATCGAAAAAATCCAACTTCAAACAAGGATTCGGTAATACGAACGATACTTATATATAACATGTGATATACGAGAACAACCGCAATAACAAGAGGGTTCGGAAATGTTTACCGTCTTTGGGAAAATACGAGCTCAGTTAAAGTAATCGAACGAAATGACGGGAGTTCGGCATCGGGCATTTTAAATCATTTTCCTACTATTCTCCACGGGAATTCAAACGAACAACAATTCGGCTTACGCGATTAAACCAAAAATTCAAACGATGATTGATAAAATAAAATCGAACGAGATATATAATCACAGTATCCATATAATAATATAAAATATAATCTCAAAATTAAGATTCGATAAATAGAATAATCCGAGAAATTCTATAAATCGAACGGGGCGTTACAATCTACCCACCTTACAAAGAATTTCGTCCTCGGAATTCGAAAACAAAACAACTAGAAGGTAAAGAGGGTACAAGAAGGGGACATCAAATGTGAGGTTCGGGTACTCTCTCCGAATCTCGGTCTCCCCCTGCCAAATAATCTCGCCCTCAACTTGACTACACTCACTGGACGTTGACGTGTACCACTCCCGGTCTTTTCTTGATGGACCTTAAGTCCCAACAGGTTACCGATACCTCCATACATGTAGGGTTCTGCCTATCACGCAGCTCGCCACAATTAACACATACCTCGAGATGACGCACACATTCCCTCCATCACGAGGA